GTGGGGAGGAACAACAATAACCTGCACGGGCACCAAGAGGACGTGTACATCTGGACGCTCGTCCCTCCGCCGTACCGTTCCTTCCACACCCACCTACCTGCAGCTCGTTCTTCATCATCGCCACCTGCTCCGAAGTGAACTGCAACTTGTCCAGGCCGTTCTGTGGGGCGGTGGCGGTGGGGGTGGGGGTGGCGGTGGGAGGGTGTGGGATAAGGTTTGGGGGCGGCAAGGCCCCGTGCACGTGTGGATACGGACTGGGGCCAATGTGCGGGTCGACCTGACGGGGTGCGTGCTACCCGCACATACACACATACACAGGTAGGTGCATGCTGCCAGCTTGGGTTGCAGGGTTTGCTTCCCCTTCCTAGCTAGTTGCGGTTCGCCGGGGGGGCCGCCGCCTTTCATCCAGGCACCACCCACCAGACACCACCACCACCACTAGGCCCCCCCCCCCACACACACACACATACATACACTCACTCCCTTTTGGCAAAATACCCGCCTAGCAGCAGCAGCAACAGCAGTAGCGGTCGTATAACGCAACTTCCACAAGTAATTACTTGTGAAGGTTGATGGGTAAAATCGTTACTGTTTTGGTTCGTATTATTACATTCCTGGTTCATATGGTGTACGACATGTGTCGTACCTCGTACTTAAGCTGTTGCGCCAGCACCTTCTCCCTGCGCCTTCGTAGCAGTGTCGTGAAGCAGGACATGAGCTCCAGGAAGGATGTGGGGGTCACGTAGTTGTGGCGGCCCGTGTCGCGACGGAAGGACTCCGACACGGAGGTGGCCTAGGGGGCGGGGGGGGGAGGGGGCCGGGGGGGGGTGGGGGGTGGGATTTCGGGGACAGTGACGTCGACAGCAGCGGCAGTAGCGGCAGTAGCAACAATTATAGCAGCAGGTGCAGTACCATATACATAAACCCTACATATGCATAACCATAACCATAACTATAACCATAACCATAACCATATAAATAATGTTCATGTAACGAAATAATTAACATTCCTATTTCATGCACTCCCCCTGCCCCCATCAGCTCCCCTCCCCAAACCCACCTGCGAGTGGAAGGTCTTGCACAGGTTCTTTACGTGCACTCGGATATCTGAGGGGGTGAGCGACCCGGGGGGGGGAAGGGGGGAGGAGGGGAGGGGGGGGAAGGGAGGTACATAGCAGTGTGTATGTACGACTCACAGTTAGTGGTGGTCTAAGGAGCTCAGAGTTCGGGTAGGAGGGGGGATCGGACGGCCCTAAAAGGGGACAAAACACACACATACACACACACACTGCAACCCCCCTTACCCCCCCTTCTCCCCCCCTTACACCCGCGCCCCACCCGGCTGAAGGTCCACCGCCCCCGACCCCAGCAACTTGGTGGCCACCGCATCCAGCGCGTCATCGGGCCAGGCGTGAAACCTAGTGCGCGGGGTGAGGGGGTAATGGAAGGGTAAGTACAGGGTTTCAGGTACGACACATTGGAAAGGGTGAAACTGGCACGAGCACACCTGGACACTGGGAAGGGCTAGGACCAACGTGTGTGTGTATGCGTGTGTGTATGTGTGTGTATGTGTGTGTGTCTGCG